GCAAAAGAGACAGACCAGACATTTGGTACATGGACTGAGACGAGAAGGAGGATGACTCAGGGACCCATTCTATTACCTTTAGGGCCTTATTAAGAAAGAATTTTATTTAAATGAAACACTGGAACAACTTAGTGGCCACCTGCCAGACCTAATGTACATTTATCCCAGTGCTACACACCGTAGCTGTGCAGAACTTCTTGGCTAGAGCTCAGACCTTGTTTTAATAACACAAAGTCCTATCATTTGGGTGACAACAGAATGAAGAGTATAAGGACAGCGATATGCAGCTAGCAGCTTGGGTCTCATCTGAGATGTGTTTCTACCCGGGGAGATCCTGGTAATTTTTCCTGAGAGGAACATGACGCCAACCTTTGGGCAGCTATGGCTGCAGCACAGTGTAGAGCAGGGGTGGGAAATTATTTTTGGCAGAGGGCCACTTATTGAGTTTTGGCAAGCCATCGAGGGCCACATGACAGGCAGCCAGGAGCAGATAAATATTAATTTTCTAAATTTTTTAGGGGCCCCGCAGGCCGGAGAGAATGGCCTGGCAGGCTGCATCTGGCCCGCGAGCTGCATTTTGCCCACCCCTGGTGTAGAGAGACCCACATAATGAGCTTTAAACTAGCTAGCAGTTCAGCCATGCCAGCATGGACTTCAGCTTGGGCTGCAAAATCTTCCCAAGAAGCCAGACAATCACTCAGGTGGTTAGCTCAGCGTGACCACAGCTAGACTGCTACCGGCACCTGAGCTTGGTTGTTTAATGCTAGCAGTAGTGACTGCAGTATAGACATACCCTCTGCTGGCTTACCCCAGAGCCGTGTCTCCTGCTGCAAATAAGTGAAATGTGATGAAAGATAAATCAGTTAGGATTTACAATTGGTGTCTTGAGACCTTCGCTTGATGCCGCCTCCTGGTTACACGTTCTGCTGGGGCACTTCCTCTCAGTTAGCAGCAAGCCTGGGAAAAGGGTTCTGTTCAGCTCGCTTTGGCTAAGGAAGGCCCCTGGGAGCATGTGGCACTTTGCTGGAGGACAGGAAGGGAGTTCACACAAAAACGATAAGCACTTGCTTTTTAAAATTAAACATGGCAATTGAAGAGGAGCATAGGCTAAGAAACATCAATGTAACAACATAAGGAGATAAAAAATGTTGTCCAGCTAGCCCAGGGTCCTGTTTCTGGCACTAATAGTTTCAAAGAAAGTTTCAAGAAATCACAAAACAATACCTATGAAAAAATATCAGCTTATGGAAGATATTTCTTCCTAACTCCAAGGAGTTAGTAGGCATGTTAAACCTCAGAGCATGAGGGCCTATATCACAGGAACAGAGGATCTGTCATACTGGATCAGATAAACAGTCCATCTAATCCAGTATTCTGCCTCTGACCACTGCCAGTACCAGATGCTTCATATGGTACAATAGGGTAGTTACAGAATAACCACGGCATAGAAACAGTTCCTTCTTAACTCCCAATAGCTGGAGGCTGACCGATGTCCGAAGCATGAGGATTTGTATCTTGGTTCTATCACTATTAATGTAAATCCAAATATATT